TGCAAACCGCATTTAGACGCAAACTGCGTAAACTACGCTTAGACGCAAACTGTGTTTAGACATAAACTGCACTCAATCATAAGTAATCTTAGAATCGGCTTTTGCATCAAAATAGTTTTTATCGAACGAACGCAGCTTTCGTTTTTAATCACTGAAAGATTTCCGCTGCACTAATTCACCCCCCCCCTCTTAGTGCTCTCGATCCTAACAAAGAGCTCCGTCGGCCTCAATGCAGAGGGAAGCGGTAGCAGTTGCGGCAGATGAGGAAGCAAGACGCTGCGGCTACGGCAGAGGGAAGCGGCTGCGGCAAAGGGAAGCGGCTGCTACTACTGCTACAGAGGGAAGCGATTGTTGCGGGCTGGGAAGCGGCTGCGGAAGATGTCGTAGCATCCTTGGGATTTTAGAGGCTGCGACAGTGAAGGAGGAAGACGCAGCAGCCGTAGTTAAGCGAGGAAGACACCGCCATTGCGTCCACTGTTCGCCGATGGAGAGGACACCGCTGTTGAGGAGGAAAACACCACCATTGAGGAGGCAGTGGGAGAATGTTTCTCTCCTTGCGTGGCGATGACAGAGAGTGTCTGCTGTAGGCAGCAAAGTAGGAGAGCAAGCAATAGGCCGACACAGAAGAGAAGGAGTGGATGAGCAGAGCTAAGACGGTGCTCGTTAGCGCTGGCTCCGAATCCGCATCCCGGTGCGTCATTCGTCGTTGTGTCCCGAGAAGCTTCTTCAATGACTCCACTTGAAGCAGCGTGCTGCTACGGCCGCTTGGCCAACACACAGAGATACAATAGAGCTGGTGCTGTCGCCGAGGAGGAAATCAAAAGCAATGCTCTGATACCATGTTGGAAAAGATAAAAGACAGGAATAATTATTAAAGAAGACGTTTTACATTGAAGCTGTTTCCCTCCTATTTATACAGGTTAAGAGGGAGGATTTTCCTCGACAGAGTAGAGAGATTTCCTCATACAGTTAGGAAAATCTTATTTGCTATCACTTAGTACCCATGCGTTGCCGGCAAGAAGTACTACGGTTGAGGGCCTTTCTAGATCTAGGAAGCTCTCCCTAACACCGAGAACGAAGAGTCTGCTACCAATTCTAGCAATTCTAGCTATAGCTTGATGTGAATTCTTATAGTAACTACAACTACGAGAGTGTCGAAGAAGACATTGGCATGGACCTACTAAGCATCCCAGAGCTGGTGACCACCGACAGAGTCATCTCGTTTAAGACAACCATATTCTGGATGATGCCTCAGTCCCCCAAGCCATCGTGCCATGAGGTCATTATCGGGAAGTGGACGCCGTCGGATGTCGATCGGTTGGCGGGACGGGTTCCGGGATACGGGACCGTCACCAACATCATCAACGGAGGGGTGGAGTGCGGGAAGGGGTTCGATGCCAATGGCGCAGATAGGATTAGGTTCTACAAGAGGTATTGCGACATACTCGGCGTGAGCTATGGAGATCATCTCTACTGCTATCGGCGATCTCTTTATATATATATATATATATATATATATATATATATATATATATATATATATATATATTATTCATAATCCTTCAATAATCACTTCTTCTTTTTTTTTTTTTCACAATCCATTATTTCATTTGTTGGAGTCTCAACTACCACGATGTCGCTTGACGCCACTTTACTGTTATACTTCATTGTTAGAATAGAAATTACTGTTCATCTCGAACATCGCTCGATAATGCTATAACTCGTTACTCCACACTCGACATCGCTTAACGAAGAGGATCCGACATTACTAGATGTCACTCTTTCTTCTTATATTGTTGGATATCGCTTGATGAATACCCCTCAGGGACTCAAATAAGAATATCACTCAATATTGTTTTACTGATGAAAAATAATAAGAAAGGGAAAATGGTATTTACATTCATTTATAGAAAAAATATCTTAGGAATATTAAAATATTTAAATAAAATTATAAATAGCAAAAAGAGTTATCAATATGAATATGTTTATAGTTTATTCTGAGATTCCTCGATAAGATGTGATATTGCAAGACAATATAGTGTGACAGATGAAAGTTTGACCGAGAATCATGAAACTTCTATCGAGGAAGTCAGTTAGATTCTGATCCCTAATTGCTCAAACTCAAGGAAAGCAAAGTCAAACCCGCTTCAGCAACAAAGACTTTTGCATCAGGTTGATTTCTTGTAGTGGATCTAGCAATTCACGCGCCTAATATTTTTATCACAAGAAGACGATCATCAGTCTTGGCTTTCATGGCTTTGACTTGTTTAAGTTCAAATTCGATCATCGATTTGAAAGTGCAGAATCCGAATCGATTTGGAAATCTTCCAAATAAGATTAAGATTAAGATTAAAAAAAAAAAAAGACAAGCCGAAGCTACTTGATGAAGTTTCCAATGTCATGGAGCTTAAAATCCGAAACGCTTTTTTTTCTTTTTGCAAATCATAAATGATGATTCTTGGACTTTTTCTATCGAGCTTGATCTTTCGTAACTGGATTTGGTACATCACCCATCGCCATCGCCAACGCCATCGCCGGCGGTCCGGAACTTAAAAGATATGCACAAACAAACACGAGGAAGAAATAATGATGAGGTTTAGCAGTTGAGCATGGTGGCCAAATATGGAGACCAGAGATCCATCCATGGGCTTCGTAGCTGAGTCCAGAACGGGTCCTGTAGCCATTCTAACCCCTCCTTCTTCGGGACCTCCAACTCGGGCAGACTCGGCCTTTGCCGAGTCGACACGGCGGCAACATCCGCTTCCTCTTTCTCCTCCTCCACCACCACCACGGTCGTCACCTCCTCCTCCGTTGCATCCTCGATGACGATTACAACATCCTCCTTGACCATGGATTTCAAGAAGCTCTCCTGATCGTAGTCTGACGCGGACTCCGCGGTCGAGCTAGAATTCTGCGACATCGTCGTATCCTCTTCCATGGCCGCCGCCCGCTGCTCCAGCACCTTCATCGAGGTCGCCTTCCGGTGTATCTTGCACAACACCATGTTCTCCTCCTGAGCACAGAATAAATCCAAGGGCCACATCAATCTTCTGAAGCTGAGATCATGCTGCTACTATCACTGGTGCTTGGTGGTGCAAGTGGGTGATAGATACCTTTGGTGGACCGTCGGAGGAGGTGGCGGACGGGTCGGGGAGGCGGTACTCGTTCATGACCCAGTCGGTCTTGGTGCCCCGAGGCGCGCGGCCCTCGTAGAAGACCAGCGTCTTCTTGAGGCCGATGAGCCGCTTGGGGTCGGCCGCGCTGCGCACCGGCCGGTCGCAACCGGTGGCCTTCCAGAAACCCCGCTCCGTGGTCCTGCTCGGCCGCCCGCCGCTGGTTTGTCTCCGGTCCCTCGGCACGTAGAAGTACCACTCCGTCTCCCCCATCTTGGCCAACCCTGCGCAAATCATCATAACACGCAGTCTTGTCAACGTCTGCAATCTCTGCTCGACTTCCTCTCGGACCAGAAATCAGCTCTAACATTGACAATACCTGGAAGCTCCCAGGGATCATGGCGATAGAGATTGACTGTAGCAATGATTTCAAGCTGCAGCCTCTTCCCCTGGACCTTGCGCCTGAGGTAGAAGTCGAGAAGCTCCTCCTCAGTGGGATGGAACCTGAACCCGGGGAGATACATCTCCAAGGTGCTTCTGATCTCCATGCGTCTCTTCCTTGTGGTTATGGCGGCACTGTTTCACCGGCCTTGCTGCTGTTGAAGAGGAGGGGGGGAGGGGGGGGGGACTCGCGAGTGCTTAAATGGTCGATGGAACGGCTGACTTCCACCGCCCACGACTGGCAAAGCATGTGGAATGAATGGAATGCGTTGACTAACCTTAAGTCCTTTTCGTCTCAACTAATCAACATCCCTAAACTAATTACTACCTGGTTTGATTAAAGTATTAGTGTTCTCTCAGCTACCGATGACGCTGACTTTTTGTGGCTTCATCAGGGTTGGTTGACTAAGTTTTGGCCTGACATGCTAGCTTTGACCATTTTACTTGCGTGGATGGACTTAAAATGTGTTGTGTGATTCATGCGATTTGAACCGGTCAGTATGACGATTCAGATCCGGTCACGCTCACAATCTGCGATTTGATCAGTTCCACGCTACCTAAGTGGGAGGGTGGCCCCCACATAATTAAGGGCAATTTTTTTTAAAAAAATCTTTTTTATTTATTCATGTAAATATTTTTTATTTCATAAAAAGATGAAATTATCCCTTAGCTTCCTTGCTACCTCTTGTCCATCGGGAGACTCCATCGCTCTTTGTCACTTCTCTCATCTTTACATGATCTTTAAGATATCGATGAAAGGTTATTATTCATTCTATCATCCGTGTGCATCGACTAATATATAGTTGACATATAAGACTTGTATCGTCATTTTGCCTTAACACTATGATCTCGTTTGAAATAAACCTTAGCCTCATCAACATATTACTATCTAAGTTGAGTTTTGTCGATGCCCTCGATGTGGCCTCCGCAACCAAAGGGGAGACAAGGGCTCTAGAGGAAAATGGGAGGAAGAAAAGTGAAAGGATGACGGAGCAAAGACAATGACGAGGGATGATAACAACGGAGAGTAAGAAGAGGTTTGAAGAAAAAAAGGAGATGAGACGGGACCAATAGGACCTCACAACAGGGCAAAGATAATGAACATGAGGATTTGTCTCACGTAATTTGGTCCCTTAGAAAATAAAAGATGCTATACAGAAATTAAATAAATAAATAAGAAAAGACACTAATCGGGAAGAAATAAAAATAAGAGATTTTTAAAGAAATTTATCCTATAGCAGCCCCATATGGACTCGTTGACATTGACACTTGTGATCCATCATCGCTGCACATAGAACTCAATTTGATAACGATCACTGGTTGACCAAGTGAAATGTGGTACAGGAATTGAACGAGATGGATCTATTGAATTGGTCAACAAGTCCAGAGTTGACAACCTATTCCTCCCTCTCCTTGTCTCCAATTTTTAAGCTTCATACGATAATAAATAACTCCATCATCATTGGTCGGATCACTCTGTTGTGGGTTCGACAACAAACGCCCGACCAATTCTGTGCTGCTCCGTCTATTTATTGCAAGTCAAGCAAGCCATTAATGGCTGGAGAAAGATATCTTCGTTTGGCATCGACCAGTGAGCCAATTAAACATGTAATAATTGGGTAGTTTACTGTACACATCGAACAATAAGAGTCTACTTTAACAATAAATCATAAGCAATTCAATAATACTATTTTATTTTGTTATCCACACTTTTTTTTTTACATGTACTAAAGGACAAATGTCAATAACAAACAAAGAGGTGCAGTGAGTGCCGATCCCATATAAGATAAATTTCTTTTTTTACAGTTGATGGAGTCATCGTACGTAGAGATACACTATTACACAGCGGACTATCTATCTATTATTTATTTACAGTTGTGAGTGATAAGCAGATAATTTATTTACAGTTGTGAGTGATAAGCAGATAAGATTTTCTCAGTTGAGGAAATCTATAAGCAGTTAAGAAAAATCTTCAATGTGCATAATCTCCTTGTTGTTGAGTGTGTATAAATAGCTATCAAAAGCTTATTATCAAAATGAACTAAACAATTACATCTTATACATTTAATAGTTTCTAGGCAGCTCTGCCGAAGCCTTCTACTGCTCCTCTTTTCTATTAAGTTAGAAATGACAGTGCTGCTACTTACCTCTCCTCCAGTGTCGTTGCTTCATGTTTCGGAGTCGGAGACTGCTCGGCCACCTCCTACCCTCACAAGAATCTCGCCTACACTACCGTGGTGGTCGCCGTCCTTGCAACTGCTCCTCGACCATCGACCTCTCCTCCTCGTTCCCACATCTCACTCGAGCGAGAAGTGCTGTTGCCGCCATCCTTACCGCCACAGCCATCACTGCCTTCCTGCGGCAATAGGAACGATTGCAGTTTTTATAGCTTCCATTTGCAGCCGCTTCCCTCTGTCGCAGTAATTTCTCTACAACTGTAACTGCTGCAGATTTTTTTTTTCTTTCTTTTCACCTAATTGTTGCAAATTTCTTGCTCATCGCTGCAGCTTCCTCGCTCATCGCTACAACCTACTCTATAGTGCATCGCTGCAGCCTCCTTTGTAGTATCGCTGTAGCCTCCTCTGCAGTATCACGTCAACAACGATTTGGCTAAGTTGCCTCATAGCCCTATGGGGCCAGACCAAACCCCTCTTATCCATATCAAGGTGGTAACTTTCATAATCCTTAGCCGTCGCGTCCTGACTTCACAAGCCACCAACAAGTCATTTGCTAACTATGTGATAAAGTCGGACACTCCGTAAAAGTCTGTCGGTCTCGCCCCAGACTCCCTGCTCCATCACAGTGGCCTCAGGCGAATTTCATGGCTACTCCAACTCCTACCCAACCTAATTGGATTGTGGACTCGGGCGCCTCTCATCACATCACCTCTAATTTTTAAAACTTGTCCATCCACAATAACTATGACGGAAATGAAGATATCATCATCGGTGACGGTAAAAGAATTCCTATTACTCATTCTGGTTTCTCAACGCTTAGTTCATTTACCACAACTTTTACACTCGATGATGTTCTGTGTGCACCTAACATTAAAAGAAACCTCATTTCCGTTTCTTAATTCTGTAAACAAAATAATACCTCAATTGAATTCTTTCCTAACTTTTTTCTTATCAAGGATTTGAGCACGGGAGCATCCTTGGTCAAGGGTCAGAACAAAGACAATATTTATGAGTGGCCATCCACTTCGCAAATTACCCTTCCTACTGCTCACTCTTCAATCACAGCTCCGGTCGATGTATGGCATCGTCGTCTTGGTCATCCCTCCCCTTTTATCGAGCAAAAATTACTTTCTCGTTATTCTCTTCCTACCTTGAAAATCAATAGCACTGTCAATCATTGCGATGCTTGTCTTTGCAATAAAAGTCATAAACTGCCTTTTGGGACAACCTCCATTTCTTTCTCTAAACCATTTGAAATCATTTATACCGACGTGTGGGGCCCTGCCCCAATTCTTTCTTTTGACAAGTTTCGCTTTTATGTCATTTTTGTAGACTATTTTACTAAGTACACATGGTTATATCATTTCCATCATAAGTTTGATGTTTCCACAGTATTTACCAACTTTCAAAAGTTGGTCGAGAATTTTTTTCAATCTTCCATTAAAACAGTTTACTCTGATGGCGGAGGCGAATATCAAGCCCTCGCATCCTGTCTCTCTGCTTGTGGTATATAACACCTCAAGTCACCCCCACATACTCCCCAATTGATTGGCTCTGCCGAACGCAAACATGCATCCATGCCACCACCTTTTTGGTCAGTAGCTTTTCAAACTGTAGTTTATCTCATTAATCGTATGCTCACTCTAGTCTTACAATACCAGTCACTATTTGAAAAATTATTCCACAAGCTTCCAAACCTTCATAAACTCAAAGTTTTTGGTTGTTTATGTTATCCATGGCTCCGTCCCTATGCGTCATATAAGCTAACACTACGATCTAAGCCTTGCATTTTTATAGGCTACTCTCTTGAACATAATGCTTTTCGATGCTATGAACCCCAAACTAAAAAAGTCTTTATATCACATCATGTTATTTTTGAGGAGTTTGTCTTTCCTTTTCAAAATAATCCTACCATGCATGCTACTCCGATAAACATGTATTACTCCAGTTCAACAGCTTCTAACTCCCTCTATTTCTCCACTCCCTTCCTCACAAGTTTCCCCTATTAATGAAGCAATACCCTCGGCAACATTGCCACTGGCTTTACCTTCTCCTAGACCTAGTGACATTGTCATGCCGACGGTTGGCCCGGTCCATGATAGTGACTCGCCCTCGGTTATACCACAAACATAATCTACCACTTCTATCCCCCCTAGACATCTAATGACAACATGCTCCAAAAGTGGTATTGCCAAACCACGTCAAGTCCTTGACTTTAATGCTATAACAAGTTCCTCCACTGAGGCCGGTGAACCCACTACAATCACTCAAGCTCAAAAATCTTCTCACTAGCGTAAAGCCATGTGTGACGAATATGATGCTCTCCTCCATAACTCTACATGGTCCTTAGTACCCTTTCATCACACACAAAATATTATCGGGTGTAAATGAGTCTTTCGAATTAAGCGGAACCCAGATGGATCCGTTGCCAGATATAAAGCACGTCTAGTCGCCAAAGGGTTTCATCAACGACCTGGTGTCGACTTCACAAAGACATTTAGTCCCATGGTTAAACCTACAACAATCCGTCTTATCCCGAGTTTGGCTATCTCAAAGGGCTAGCACATACGACAATTGGATGTTAACAATGCTTTTTTACAGGGGACACTTACTGAAGATATCTTTATGCAGCAACCTCCTAGTTTCGTTCATCCTCAATATCCAAGGCATGTCTGCAAACTTCAAAAAGCTATTTATAGACTTCATCAAGCTCCAAGGGCTTGGTATAACGAGCTTGGCTTGTTTTTTACCTCAATTGACTTCATCAATTCCAAGTCTGATACCTCGTTATTCATTTGCCAGCACAATAGAAACATAATATATCTTTTAGTATATGTGGATGATATTATTGTCACAGGAAATGATCCTTTGAAGACTCAGGCATTTCTAAAGCACTTGGCCGATCGATTCTCCCTCAAAGATCTATAAACTTTAAGCTACTTTTTGGGAGTTGAAGTAACATTTACACCTTCAGGTCTCT